GTTTGGGAAAAAGGAATGAAGTTAAGAAAATCAGGTTGGGTTCCTTGGTGGTTCCCACACAGACGGAAGGTCCAAATCTGATCCGTTAATTGCTCCCAATGAATTGCTCCCAACTAGTTATGTTCCTTGCTAGACTTCTGAACCCTTTAAAAGCTGGGATTCTGATGAAGACTTTGTTGTATTTTTCTAGTCATCCTCATTCAGCAGCATCACAGATTCCACCATGTCCTTGAATATCATCACCGTCACGCTCAACATGGGTAAGATGATGATGTGCCATGATACAATAACTGAGCTACTGAAATTAGAGCCTGATCCAGAGTTCTTGAGAAGTCCGTGAAAAGAGTCCTGCTGATTTTAAGGGACATACATTTTGGCCATTGGACGGACTGCCAAATGAAGCATGTGGGTCTCATTCCAGTTTAGTGCGGATGTGTGTCTGTAACATCAATAGGCAGACCCAAACCTGGGACCTCTGGAGCTTAGTGCATGAGCCTCTATAGCTTGAGCTAAAAGCCAGCTGGCTCTCAGCTCAGGCTGTAGAGCAAATTCATTCGTTGTCTCAGCAAGTGGTCTAAGTCCTATTAAGTGGGGCAGTGAACCATGCCAACTAGGTGTGTGGGTTACATGTCCACATCACGCAACCTGCATCATAACTGTCTTTGATTTTCAGTCTTCCTGGCAGGCACAGCAGATAGGCCATAACGGTGGGCATTGGAGATGGAATTCTCCTCAGAATGGAGTAGGGTGGAAGGTAGCTGGGTGATGGAGGTTTACATTGTTGCCACCTAGGTTTGGATACATAGTCATTGGCAGGGGCTGCAGGCCACACCCCTTCACCTGTCCCAGGGCTATATGGAAAAACAAACACGACCCGACGTCGTTAAGTGTTTTATTTCTAGGTGCAGACAGATCTTTTCAGTACAGTTCCCCTCATTTATTTTCTTTAAAATGTGCAAATTTTCAACAAGTTGTATGAAAAAATGACCCAAGATCAAATTTCTCCCTTCTTGGACGAACATGCCAGGTCCATATAACCAGATGAGCTTAGCCTTTGGGTCTGAATGTCTGCAGTGCTTCTGGTGATCATGGGGTGGCATTGAAGAAATCTAGAAAACATCTGTCTCTCTCTGGACCATAGAGTAATGATCCTCCAGCTTGCAGAGTCTTTCCAATCACCTCGCTCGCTTCTTTTTTCCTTCTCTCTGCCTGTCTAGAGAAGTATAATTTCCTGGGGATCAGCATCGTCGGCCAGAGCAACGACCGAGGAGATGGTGGCATTTACATTGGCTCTATCATGAAAGGAGGCGCCGTGGCGGCAGATGGCCGAATTGAACCAGGAGACATGCTTCTACAGGTTGGTTTGTACCCCCAAAATGATGTCGCTTCCAGGAGCGGTTAGTGGCTGCAGCTTGGCCTTTCCACTAGCTTCCCTCGCTCCAGAATCTGTGAGCAAAATTCACTCTTGTGCAAAACGCTTGCACAAGGCCTATGTAAGTCTCCAAATCATTGCCGTTTCACTTGAGCTCCCCCTGCTGGCTGGCTGACCAACTCTTGCTTCAGTAGAAAGTCTCTTCAGATTCCCCACCAAATGAAAGCAAAGTGAAGACTAAAGTGGAGGCCTTACTCACAGTGCTTGATAATTCAACATAATTCGTTGCTGTTGACATGGGACAGGCTGGTTGAACCTCTCTAATCTGGCACCCTCGGGACAAGTGCTGAACCAGAGAATTTACCAAATCACGGGAGGTCAATATTGCCTAGCGGCATTACCAACACTTCCACTGTTTATTGGGCTCTTAGAAGACATTTAGGAGTAAATTAGAGCTAAATAACAGCACAGAACACTGAGAGCCAGGATTGGTGGCTGTAAACAAACTTTATGGGACCACGGGAAATTTGGCCAGACCCTTGATAAGTGGACATCTGGCTACTAAAATCATGCCAGACCACAGCAGTTGCCGGACCAGAGAGTGCAGGACTAGCCTTAGGTAAAATGCACTTTCTCCTTTGGTTAGTGCCTCTGACCATCATTGTCTTTTGTGACATGTTCCAGGTGAACGAGGTCAATTTTGAGAATATGAGCAATGACGATGCAGTACGGGTTTTACGGGAAATCGTCTCCAAGCCTGGGTGAGTGTATCACCAGATCCGCATTTCCCTGCTTTCCCTGACATTTAGTATTGGGCAGAGCTCAAACAGTTCAATGTAGATACGTACCGAGAGTTTATCCCAACTCTCTAAACCACTTGGATTAAGTAAGGAAGAAGTCAGCCCCTGGCTGCTAATATACCTGCTAAAACCGACACAAGCTGGTAGCTAGCCTGCTGATTATGAATCCCTATGAGGTACCTAGAGCAAAACACTCCACAAAAGTTGGTTTTTCTCTCTGGCCAACCCTGGAGAGAGGCAAATTAGCTCACCATGGCAGAGACTCATTCTCCCAGTTCTACAGGGAAAGGTAACTGAGTCCTCCGTATTTTATTTTATTTTCAGACCCATCAGCCTAACGGTGGCCAAGTGCTGGGATCCCACGCCTAGAAGTTATTTCACTATTCCCAGGGGTAAGTGAGCAGCCAGTGTAACAGTGCTAGCTTGCAAGGTTTACAAAATCCATAGCACAAAGACCTGTGGGGTCAAGGCATTTCCAGCTACCCTGTCTCTTTAGGAAGTTTTTTTTCTTTCTCTGCCCATCAGAATATCCAGTTCTAATTTGGGGAAGCAGCGGGCGCGGCTGAGGGAAGGTTCCTCATTGCAGGAGGAATAACAGGTAGTTTGAACTAGGGCTTTATTTCGAATGGCCGTTTCACTGCCGCGTGTAGACGCGGACAGTTAGTCCAGTCTTGTCAATTTCAAAAAGTGGCGCCTGGCCGGGAAGATGCAAATCAAGCGCGGGATATTTAAATCCCGGGCTTTGATTTGCAATTTCGAATGCCTACGTTTGCAGCCCTATTTTGAATTAGGCTGCAAGTGTAGACATACCCTATGAGAAAACTCCTGCCTAAATCACAGGAAACTGATCATGGATATATCCCTCCAAATCTAACCCAGTCCCAGGATGAAAGCAAAAGTCCTTCATAGACCATCCAGGGAGACAATTCCTTCTGGTTCCCCCTCCCCCTGCCACGAGTGACCATCTTAGCCCTGTGCACATGTGAATGACCATGATTCCAAGATGTTAAGAGTGTCCAAATAATTGTCTCCTATCCGCCCCTCCCCTCCCCCACTGAATCCCTCTGAGGTGCATTCTGTTTGAAACCTGATTCATTTCTTTTTTTGTTTCTTTGCCGTTCCAGCTGAACCAGTGAGGCCAATAGATCCGGCAGCCTGGATCTCTCATACCACAGCCATGACGGGAGCGTACCCCCGTTACGGTATGAGCCCCTCCATGAGCACCATCACATCTACCAGCTCCTCACTAACAAGCTCAATTCCCGATTCGGAAAGTAAGTCGCACTGCGGCCAGCGCAGGGCAGGTGTCTTCTGCTCAGGGCCGGCAGTGTAGAGCTGCACAGAAAGCAAAGCAAGACACAAACGAACACGACAGCCACAGCAAGCTTTTTTTTTTTTTTTTTTTTTTCCACTCTAACTTATGGGGAGCAGAAAACTTTCCAAAGGTTGCCACAGTGATACCTCAGCATAGGAGGAGCAAGGCTTTATGCTAACGTTTTGCACCATGAGTTAGGAAGATTTGGGGGTTGCTCTTCTATCAAATCATGGGGCAGGGAGTATATCCGCATTCATCAGTCCCTTAAAATGCCAGAAAGCATTTTTCCTCCAGTGGATAACATTGCAGATCAAAAACCAGGACATAATGTTAGGAAACTTTCTGTGTGCTTTCAAAACAGCCTTCTCAGAGTTTTGAATATGGTTTAATCGAGTTGCCTTTTCTTTTTGAGAACTTAATAAGCACACACAAAAAATCCCATACAAATGAAAACCAAACCCTGGTGGCTTTTGTCCTGCAAGAGGAAATTAAGGGTCAGATTCCCTCTGCCACTGCTCTGGTCTGTTGTGGCAATTCCTACATTCTCTTATCAACCTGTTGAGACAATTCTGGTGTCTTATCTTGGAAGCTTTAGAACTGAAGAAACAAATCCTTCCTTGTTCTCTAGAGTCAGTGTAGGGCACAGTGCAGCATTGGATTTAAAACCACATGGCACTCAGGCAAGACACATGAACACAGCAGATGACTGTTGGCTACTCACTACTGAGGGCCCCCATTTAGCCTATCTCTATACTTGCAGCGTTTTTATCCTGTCCGTTGCACCGGTGATAGAGAACTGGTAAAAGAAAAGCATTGATTTGTGTACTCAGAGTCACAGGCAGTGTGGCCTGCAAGTTGTGCTCTTGTGCAGATTCCAATGCTGCCCGGCTGATTAGCACAGCTAGGTTTGTGTTTCTTCTGGTGGTGCACATTCGCACATGCCTTCGGTGCACATAAAATTATTCTGCACGTGGATGAAAAAGATTAGAGGGAGCATTGGTCACAGGCATCAGAGAGTGTTTATATTTGTAGCACTTCCATCATGGATGAGGGCAGCTATCCCACAGTGCAGCTCTCATGGGAAGGGGTGGGTGATTGCAGGGTATCCTGGGAGCCTCTTCTCGACCACCGGTCAGCTCCAGATGCTCAGCATTGCTGTGAGCAGGGGATGGTTTGCTCCATGGAGCAGGCATTATCACCTGGCCAGAAAAGTGAGCACTTGCCAAGAAAACAAGAAGGGGGGTTTCAAAGTTGCCAGGGCTTTACAGGGGTAGGGGTGGGCCTCTATTTACTTGGCATCAGAGCAGCAGGGGTGCTGGCTAGAGTGGTCACTGAGGCATTGTGGGATACCCTGTTGAGGCTAAAAGCTCTAAAACAGCAAGAAAATGTCTTCACTTGCACATCAGCGCAAAAGCATCACTGGTAAGAGCCTCGCATGAAACATCTGAGTTTCCCTGCAAAAAGTCATTGGCGAGTATAGACGCTCCCAGAGTTTGGGCGCACAAAGGGACCTTTTCCGCGTCACGTGCCAAGTGTAAACCTGTCCTTAGGAGAGCGTCCGTGTTTGAGATTACACTCAAGCATGTGCTGAAGGGACTTAAATGAGTGTTAAGTGCTGTCTTCAATAGGGATGGGCTTAAGCACCAGGCGTACGTGTTTTCCTGAACGAAGAGATTGGAAACCAAATGAATTCTGCAGGACAGGTTCACAACTTGTCCCAAACGTTGCCACCTTGGGTCCCACTTTGAACCGCTGATTCCAGCCGGTCCACAGGCAATCAATACACTGACCAGCTGAGGTCCTGGACCCACTTCCCTATTGCTCTGCAAACAGCAACATTAACGACACTTTTGCCTAAATCGGGATCAAACTCTTGTCCTGTTCTCTTACTCATTAAGTGGAAAAGCCAGGGCTGTGCCCCCAAACCAAGCTTCCACCTCTGATTCCTTTGAGTCCAGCAGGAAAGCTCCTATGCTTTGACAGCCGGTATTTGAAAGGAAGAAGAAATAGGGAGGGCTAGTGCAAACTGGGTGCCTTTGGGGGTTATTCATAAAAGCGCATCCCTAGTTAAAAAATTTGGGCCAAGTTTTTCAAAAATGGCCAATAATTGTAGGGTGTCAGTTTGAAACACCTTTAGCTAACTTCAGGGTGCTCCACACCTTCTAAAAATCAGGCCCTCCCCTGGAACATCCCAAAACTGAAACCCCTCAAATGACTAATAATTTTGGAAAGTGTTGGCTTTTCTGAGAAGGTTAAAAGAAGAGGGTGAGACTAGATGGAGCTAGCTTTTGTCTTGTTCCCGCACAGCTCCTTTCATCTCTTTGTGGTGCACTGAAAACATTTTCAGCTGTGCAGGGTAATTAAAAAAAAGAGAGATTGACTCTGTTAATTAGCCGTAACACTGCCAGTGAGAGTTTAGATGCTATTTCCACTCCAAGACTTTGCATTATTTTGCAATGAAATCTAAATTAGAAGCTCTAAGGGACTTTACACCTTGAATGGGGATTTTCTTTTCTACCAACGTCCTATAGGAAAAACTTTGACGGGGGGGCATTAATACAGAATGATGATAACTTTTCTGTAGAATTTTGAACCCAGTTGACAGCAAGAGCTAGATAGATTCATGGAGGTTAGGTCCATCAATGGCTGTTAGCCATTGTTTGTCTGGAAATGGGTGACAGGAGAGAGATCACATGATGATTCCCTGTTCTGTTCACTCCCTCTGGGGCATCTGGTATTAGCCATTGTTCGCAGACAGGACACTGGACTAGATGGACCTTTGGTCTGATCCAGTATGGCCGTTCTTATGTTCTAAGGGTATACAATTCCCCATTGGTTCTGTAGGTTGCCTGAAAATTTCTGTAGAGAACCTCCAGTTCAGCAGCATACCACTGAAACCAGCTTGCATAACTCATGCGCTTAATGTTAGGAAGCGCTTAAGTACATTGCTGAACTGGGACCTATAATCTATAGGTTGTTTAAAGTAATTTCTGTAAACCCTTAGAGAAACCCAATTGGTTTCATTGCCAACACAGTATATTGGATTTTTCCATAGAGGAAAAACAATAATAATAATGAATACAGTAGACCTTCATTGATCATTTAAAGACCTTTGGGCTAATGATCAATGACAGAATCTTCCCTAGACAAATGTTTGGCTGAAGTATTACATTCCTGGAGTTCTCTATGCATTGGTGGTGCCTTTATATTTAAAAATACCAGCAGACTCGGCCAGACCGCATGAGGGCTCGTGCTCTCTCTGATCTCATAAGCAGCTAAAATTACAGCCTCACCTTGAAACTATGAAAGGGGAGTGATATCTTGTATGGGTCTCGTCTCTGCATCTCCCTAGACAGTGGCGGCACCAGCAAGTGGGGGAAGGGGGCAAATATTATCAGCAGTCAAAGGCAAGACAACCCTTACCCCACCAAGGCTTTATCTTGAGATGCATATTTTCAGTCTTAAACATACTAAAGATTACTGGGGTCTAATATATCTGCTGATTGCTGTCAAACAATGAAACTCTGTTACTCTGTTTACATTCCTCTTGAAACATTCATGTATCAGGTGCCTTGATACACAGTACAGTGATTTGGAAATGTGGAAGGCAGACACCCTCTTACTTGTGCTTCTGAATTGAAGGTTGCCTGGAAGTAAAACCAGTTTTCTGCGGATAGCTTTTCATTCTTTGTGCGGGTAGCATATGACATTCCCTTTTCCTAATGTAAACAGAAGAAAAAAACTGAAACCTGAGCAAAATGGGAGATAAGTTTGGAGAAGGTGTGATTACGGGAGGAGGGGGCAGGGGCTCAGAGTCCTTCCTGACTCTGCCACTGTCTCACTGAGTGACCTTGGGTGAATCACTTATCTTTTCTGCAGTTCCGTTTCCACATCTGTAAAGTGGTTATCCTGACACAGATCAGAGGTGTGTCCGGAGGCTTCATTCGTTCCAGTGTTCTTTGAGATCCTCAGACGGCAGGGGCGATAGAAGGGTAGCGTTTCATCATAAACAAGGCCAGCATAGCTAGCAGTGAGGTGGGCAGCAAACTGCACTTCCATTCATTTGATCTCCCTCTTTCTGTCTCCTCCACTGGGAACCTGTCTGATGCACAGTGGGTGCAGCACGCCCAGCTCTCGGGGGTGCATCAGGCGGAAGAGAAGACCTCACATTTTAATCTCTCAGCTAAATATGGCGGAAGGTGAGAAACACGCATCTCAACCCAAAGGGAGCAAACAAAGAGCTTAAATACAAGATCCTCCCAGATTCTCTTCGAGTTACATTACTGAAACTTGCAGCAAATATAAATATCAGTTTTACTGTTTTGGCTGTAAATGTGGAAGCAGCCAGTTAATGGAGCAGCGTTAGATGAGCACAAGTCTGTCACGGTTCCTTAGTGCGAGTACTGCGGTATGTCTCCTGTTTTACTCTGTTTATATAACAGGGCTGGGATACTATAAACTTGACTGACTCCTTTTCTTCCTGTCCACCCCCCTTCACCCACTTGCCTGTGGATCAGAATGAAAGTTCCTAACAAAAGAAGTATTAAGTGCAGCCAACGCTTTCTGACTAAAGCACCTGAGATTTGGGGGTTTCAGGTGAAACCCACCATGCAGCAGGGCTTGGATTTCTTTTCTGGCTCTCTTCGGTTGGTTTTTTCATCTCTTTTTATCTTCAGTGTTGTTCCCTCAAACACAGGACTCCTCGGGGACCTGAATACGCAGTTGCTGTCAAATCAGACTTTTTTTAGTGCCAGATGGATCCAGTTCTTCATATTAATTATTATTGAAAAAAGTATCTTGTTCGAGAATGATTTTAAGCCTATTCCAGAGCAACACACTCTTGCAGTAGCCTCTGGTTTTCTCTGCAGGGCCAGCTGCCTTCAGCCAGCACTAGCAGCAATACTCTCTATCCACGGCAGAACATCTTCACCTCCCCCCCATTGTTAAAAGAGGAGCTTGCTTACTGCCAGTCAGGACAGTCCAAGATCACCCTAGATACCTGAGGTCAGGTGTCAAGTATCAGAGGGGTAGCCGTGTTAGTCTGAATCTTGCAAAAGCAGTGAGGAGTCCTGTGGCACCTTATAGACTAACTGAAGTGTTGGAGCATAAGCTTTTGTGGGCAAAGACCCACTTCGTGTCAGGTGTGTAAAAGCACTGCCGTTTTCTACGGTGCTAACCCCAGAGCATTGCAAAGTTCTTCTCACCAGCTGTCGTGTTTTGGAGTCTGGTGCAAAACCCATTGGAATCAATGGAAGGGTTTTTTTCCCCCATTGACCTGAAAGATCAAGCCCTCAGACCACTACTGTGGAATTCTGGCTTGGCAGGGTATCCTGCCCAGAGCAGCTTGTCCCTTCTGCGTGGGCTTTTCTCTTCAGCAGAAAGAGCACTAAAACGAAGGCACAAAATAAAGATGGCAGGAGGACTAGTACAACTGCATTGTCCTGATGGATGTACCCTTCTCACTACAGGTTGAACCTCTCTAGTCCGGCACCCTCGGGGCCTGACTGGTGCCGAACCAGAGAATTTGCCAAACCACAGGAGGTCAATATTGTCTAGCAGCATGACCAACCCTTCCGCTGCTTCATGGGGTTTTAAAAGACATTTAGGGTACATTCGAGCTAAATAACAGCACAGAACACTGAGAGCCAGGCCTGGTGGCTGTAAACAAACTTTATGGGACTGTGGGAAACTTGGCCACACCCATGATAAGTGGACACCTGGCTACTAACAGCCCAGGAAGCAGCAGAACTGTTGGTAATGCTACTAGACCAGTGTTTCTCAACCAGGGGTACAAGTACCCTTAGGGGTACTCGAGAGAAATCTGAGGGGTTTCAACACAACTGAAAGTTGGAGAAAACTGAATTTTTGTTTTAAGCTGTACAGCGCTTTATTATTTTTGTACTTTTTAGACCCAAAACTTTCATCGCCCACCCGACTATGATTAAGTTGTTTAAACAAAAGTGTTGCAATAGTAGAAAAAATGTGTGTGTCTGAAAACTGTAAGTACTGGGGTACTTAGAATTTTTTTTTTGAAAAAGGGGTACAGGCAGTCCCCGGGTTACGTACAAGATAGGGACTGTAGGTTTGTTCTTAAGTTGAATTTGTATGTAAGTCGGAACTGGTACATATTGTAGGGGAAACTCTAGCCAAACATTTCTCCAGAGCTCAGTTTTATTCTCCCACACCTCACTTCCCTCAGGGTATTATTCTCAAGCTGAGGTGTCTGCTGAGAAAAGCCGCTCCACGTCTCCCTGGTCTGCTGGGGACGGGGGGCGCTAGCTTCGCATCTCCCTGGTCGTCTGGGGGGAAGCAGCTAGTGCGGGGTTGCCTCACCCCGTTAGTAAGTAGGGATCTGATGTAAGTCGGATCCATGTAACCCGGGGACTGCCTGTACTTTATTAAAAAAAAAAAAAAAAAAAAAAAGGTTGAGAAACACTGTGCTAGACGATATTGACCACCCGTGGTTAAGCAACGGCCAGGTCCCAAGGGTGCCAGTCTAGAGAGGTTCAAGCTGTACAGCTTACAGATCCAACATCCTTCTACTTCCAGTGGTATCTAAAGGGACAATATTGGTTTGGGGATGGGCCACATGAAAATTGAGTTTATTGCTCCTCATATGTTTAAAACAGATACTCTTTATTTTTATTTTTTTTAAAAATTGCTTTTTGTTACTAACCACGCTAACTTAAAGCAAAATCCAAATCTCAGTGTTGCTCAGATGGTGTTAGGAGCTTAGAAGCCTCATGTGTATATGGCATGTGACAATATATCTCAAGTGTGTACATGTGCATGTTTCAAGTTCACCGTTTTCAGCTGTCACTATGTCATAGTTGTAAATGTGAGGGTGGCTGAAGTGAAGTGAAACCGGTTCTGCTACCTGCCTAGAAAGGTGGGTGGCTCATGACTTGCCATGTGTCTGCCAGACATGGGCCTGAGCTGCAAACACCATTTCATGATGGATACAAGTTTTCCGGAGATGGGAGGATGGGAAGCAGGGTAAACACAGTGAGTGTGGTGGGCAGCCCACTAAAAAGACATTACCGGCTGGGAATTGGACCCAGCATTTGATGGAGCTTGGAGGTTCAGCCCTGTCTCTAATTACTGTGGTCATTAGCGAGCTGAGGGCTTTACCTTGGACACTCTGCGTGAGAAAGGAGAGGCGGGTCCTAGGAGTGGCTGGGCAAGGGATCCACAGAGAATAGCTCTCCCATTCAAGGAACAGGAGGGCCAGCCTTAGGCCGGCCCGGCCCGCATGGGAGATCTTGCAGGTGCTTCCTGTTGGGCTTTATTATCAAACTGGATCAGCAAAACGCATGGGTTTTGTGTCTAGAGGAACACTCAGGTCAGGGGAGTTGAGCACAAGTTGGGGTGGTGACATCATAGAATCATGGAACAGTAAAACTGGAAGGGACCTCGAGAGGCTATTGAGTCCAGTCCCCTGCCCCCATGGCAGGACCAAGCACCATCTTTCTAAACCATCCCTGATAGATGTCTGTCTAATCTGCTCTTAAATATCTCCAGTGATGGAGTTTACACAACCCCCTAGGCAATTTATCCCAAGCTACGTCTACATTGGCCCCTTTTCCGGAAGGGGCATGGTAATTTTTGAAATCGCAATAGGGAAATGCGCGGGGGATTTAAATATCCCCCGCGGCATTTAAATAAAAATGTCCGCCGCTTTTTTCCGGCTTTTAGAAAAGCCGGAAAAGAGCGTCTACACTGGCCCCGATCCTCCGGAAAAAAAGCCCTTTTCCGGGAGATCTTATTCCTATTTCAAAGTAGGAATAAGATCCTCCGGAAAAGGGCTTTTTTTCCGGAGGATCGGGGCCAGTGTAGACGCTCTTTTCCGGCTTTTCTAAAAGCCGGAAAAAAGCGGCGGACATTTTTATTTAAATGCCGCGGGGAATATTTAAATCCCCCGCGCATTTCCCTATTGCGATTTCAAAAATTACCATGCCCCTTCCGGAAAAGGGGCCAATGTAGATGAGCCCTCAGTGTTTAACCACCCTGAGAGGTAGGAAGTTTCTCCTAAAGTCCAACCTAAACCTCCCTTGCTGCAATAAGCCCATTGCTTCTTGTCCTATCTTCAGAGGCCAAGGAGAACCATTTTTCTCCCTCCTCCTTGTAACAACCTTTTAGAAAAGCAACAATGACCGATCACAGCTGACACATGGAGAATTGGCTTTTCCCAATATCCTGCAAGAGAGCGGCTTGGAGTTTGTGAGAGGGGCATAGGCGTCCTTATAGGGGGCTGTTACGTCAGGGTCTGACCATCATTGGCAACCACAGAATAGGTAGTTTTCAAGGCAGTGCCAGCGTAAGGCTGGTTAACGATATGGGCTGTTTTCTAGCTTCCTGATTCCCTTCCCTCCTCCCTTTGGTGCCTGCACCAGGCCCATTGACCTCAGTGGGAGCTGCAGGCGCACCAGTAGCAGAGTAGATTCACCCAATTTTTTTCCGTACCAGGTGGCATCATTCATGTTAATTGACCCCCAAGTGTGAGGTCAAGACATGCTTGTTCCCCACAGAGCCTGTTGTGCACTCGCCCCGTGACCGAGGCTGGGTTTGAATGTGGAGGGAGCATTGCTGGACGCCCCCATGAGTGTCCTGCAATTTAAATGGGGAATTGCTGATGACTGGATTGGCCTTGGGCGCACCCCCTCGTGAAAGGGGCCTGTAGTGACACATAACTGGCTGGGGAACCCAAGCCTTGTAGGGTGCCTATACCAGGAGTGGGGAACCTAAGACCTGGGGGCCAGATGCGGCCCCCGGCTTGCGTGAATCTAGCCCCCGAGCTCAGGCTCTCCCCCCCCCCAGCATTGGGGAGACAGTGCTGGTTCTCTACTCCCCCGCCCCCACCCTGTGGAGCAGGGGCACACAAAATCTACTAGCCTGGGCCCTCCTAAGACTCTGGTGTGTGAGGCGAATGTGGGGAGTGTCTTTCTTCTCTGTTGGGGGCCACGTCAGTGAGGATTTTTTTTTCTTCTCACTTGTCTGTGGCCCCCGACTGATTTTTCTGTGGGTCAGCAGCTCCTGACCCAAAAAACGGTTCTTCACCCCTAAACTACTTTTCATGCCAAGCAGCATCACAGGGAAGTGGCCTGAGAGCCGTATGCGGGGCCGCTGCTGAGCGCAAGACGGGGGAATCTTGTGGGACCGAGTCTTGCCTCTGCTCCCGAGAGCTGTGTCTGGGAAGGTGCCATCCCAATAGCGGGAGCTGAACCGAAGTGACTCTCTGTGCTCGGAGGGCTGAGCTCCGAGAAGCATCTAACCTCTCTGCCTTTCAGAATTAGAAGAATCTCCCTTAACTGTGAAGAGTGACATGGCGACTATTGTCAAGGTGATGCAGTTACCCGACTCAGGCCTGGAAATCCGGGACAGAATGTGGTTAAAGATCACCATCTCCAATGCAGTGATAGGTAAGCGGGTCCCCCCGACGGCTGCGTAGGTCAGACGGTGGCTTGTTAGGAACGGGCTTGGGGAGCTGCCTTTTCGAGCTGCGTTGACTCTCTGCCTCCCCCCTCTCCCTTGTGTATATTTGTGAAAGAATCTGGCTGTGCCGGGGAAGAACGAAAGGCTCAAGTGTGAACAGCGTGTGAGCCCGCACTGTGCAGACCTCCCTCCCTCATTGTCTCTCTGCACCTAAACCCGCACTGCTGCTCCCGCCCTGTGCCTCCCGCCTGGCTCTAGCAGCACATCTCAGTCCAGCCTCGCAGCGCCCCCTGCTGCTCCAAATCTGAATAGTCACACAGCCCCACTCTTCAACAGCACTGCTAAGAGACCCTGGGTGTGTTCATGCTGCACGCAAATGGGCACTGAACTCTAGACCGGTGTGTCTCAACCAGGGCTACGAGCATCCTTAGGGGTACTCGGGAGACGTCTGGGGGGTACGTTAGCACCACTGAAATTTGGAGAAAACTGAACTTGTTTTCAGTTTTACAGCGCTTTATTATTTTTGTACGTTTTACACCCAAAAATTTCATCGCCCGGCTACGATTAAGTTGTTTAAACAAATATGTTGGAATGGTAGAAAAAAAAGTGTGTGTCTGAAAGCGTAGGTACTGAGGGGTACTTATAATTATTATTTTTTTGAAAAAGGGGTACTTTATAAAAAAAAAAAAAAAAGGGGGTTGAGAAACGCTGCTCTAGACAACCTGAGTTCCTTTTGCTTGTGATCTAAATAAGACACGAGACTGCATGGAGTCTCCATCCATCCTGGCCCCTTATATTGATTGAAAACCTGTCACTGTATAAATTCAACAACCCGTCACCCTATAAAAGGCCATCTCACTTTAGATTGTCTTAATTCCTTCTCGTATGCAACAAATAAAAAAAAATTCCAGTATGATTTTTTTTTTGAACATTTAAATGAATAGGTGCTCCACTCAGATGCAGGACTGTTCTTCACTTCCTGGCTTAAACTGGGGGTTAGTGCTGTTAGACGGCTGCTCCTTCCCTCCTGCCCCAGAGGTGGATGCATTTCAGTGGCAGCCAAATGATCTCCAGATGAAGGGGCTTTGGAAGTAGGCTATTCCGAAGCTCTCTGAGGCAGGGCCTGAACTGCCTCTGCTTTTTAGATGATACCTAGCATAATGACGCTCTGTCCTGGTGGAGGCTGATAGGCATTACTACATTGCGATAATAGGACTTTGAAAATTGTCTTGCCGGCTCTCAGTGACATTGGGCTGTTTCTCCTCTCTCCGTTCCCCGCTCCCTGCGCAGGGGCAGATGTGGTCGACTGGCTGTACACGCACGTGGAGGGCTTCAAAGACAGACGAGAGGCTAGAAAATATGCCAGCAGCATGTTAAAACACGGCTACCTCAGGCACACTGTGAACAAAATCACCTTCTCGGAGCAGTGCTATTACGTCTTCGGGGACCTCTGCCGCAGTAAGTTCCTCACCCGTGAAGGGCAAAGCTGGGTGTGCTGGATACCAGCGCCTCTGTTCTCTGCAACCTCCCGTGGGAGTTCACAAGCAGAGATTTCCACACACACAAGCACCCTCTTCCCCCTACCCCACCAGTCATGTGATCATTAGTCTATTTTCCCCTAGAGAAGCAGCTGGGTTATCTGGGGAGGAAGGATGGTTCAGTGAAATCAGACATTGGGCTGGGACTGGGGAAATCTGACTCTTGCCACGCGCCTTCATGTCCTCGGGCCTCAGTTCCTCATCTGTAAAATGGGGATAGTCTGACCCCGCTTTATGGGGATGTTGTGAGGGGCAACCTAGGCTAGTCAGTGGGATGCATAGGCTTCATCTCCGTGGCTCACAAGATTGTTGTAACCAAGACGGTCTCCTGGGATAGTTTTGCTGCACGTAGGTAATTTGCAGGAGGTGCCGATTGCACCATAGCAGTGCCTTGATTGGACACAGAGGGAACGCACACACCTCCCTACGTGTGCCCCGGCTTTATGTGCATGTCGCGTGAGTAACACCAGTAGGAGAAAAAAACAGTGTGGATGAAAACCAGCAGAATCTGACAAGCCTGTGCCTGAGAAACGATAAACAAAACGTCTCGTGGGCCACTCACGGAGCCCCAAAAGGCTGCATGTAGCCCTTGGACCGCAGGCTGCCCACCACTGCGCTGCGGTGCTGCGGGCTGTGTCCGTACCCTCTGAAATCGAATAACAATTTCCCGCCCGGACACAAGTGTGATCAGCACAGGCATTCCATGTGAACGGGAATAGCCTGCCAGTGTTCTCCGCTGACCCCCCTCGCTCTGGAATTCATTCATCAGGTCATTTCAGGGCTCCCCCCCCGGGGCAATCGGTTAGCAGCCCTATTACGGTAATGGCTGTGCCCTCACAACAGGCCTCGGCGTTCTGGACAGGTCTCCCTTTTACAGGAGGGTGCTGAAGCACAGAGGGGACTGAAGCTACGTTGGCACTTGGCTCTCAGAGTGTGTAGACACGCCCGCTCTCAACAGGCAGCGTGCTAAAAATAATAGGGTAGCCTCTGTAGCACAGGCAGCAGGAGTGGCAGTGCAGGCTAGATGCCCTGAGCACAGTTCCCCGGGGCCCAGGCAGGTTTGTACTCGGGGCACCTGGCTCCTTGTTTTAACACACTCGCTCGGTGAGACATAGTGTGAGTGTGAACGTTCACCCTGGGAATCACACCCCTTGCAGCCTGGGGAGACAGTAGCCCAAACTCGCCAACCGTCTCTGTGAGTCCGAGGCAGAATCAGCCATTGAAACCTGATCTCCTGAGTCCCAGTCGCCTTGGGGTTCCCCAGCAGGGCCCATCTCCCCTGACATGAGAATGTCTTTGTGGGCAGCAGGGAGCGACAGGCAAACGATACGTGTGAGGAGTCGCATCAGACCAGCCCAAGTGGCTTTGCTCACGGAGGCTTGAGACTATCCGTCCCTCCACATTCAATATTCATGCTGGCTTCACCCTGGGTGGCATTTTGATTGAACTGCTGAGGTTCCCCAGCAGGGCCCATCTCCCCTGACATGAGAATGTCTTTGTGGGCAGCAGGGAGCGACAGGCAAACGATACGTGTGAGGAGTCGCATCAGACCAGCCCAAGTGGCTTTGCTCACGGAGGCTTGAGACTATCCGTCCCTCCACATTCAATATTCATGCTGGCTTCACCCTGGGTGGCATTTTGATTGAACTGCTGAGGTAACGTCTCGGGGAAAACCCACGAGCTGTCATTTATACAGGCTGGCAAGAGTCTGTGGTGACCAGGTGTGAGGGACAAGCACCGTCCTCACCTTTTCTCTCTCCCTCCAGATATGGCTGCCTTGAACCTTAACAACGGTTCTAGCGGCGCCTCGGATCAGGACACTCTCGCTCCCCTCCCGCATCCTGCTGCGCCATGGCCGTTAGGTCAGGGGTATCCCTACCAGTACCCGCTCCCTCCGCCGTGCTTCCCGCCAGCATATCAGGACCCGGGCTTCAGCTACGGGAGTGGCAGCGCAGGTAGCCAGCAAAGTGAAGGTAAGCGTGTGAGCTGAGCATGTGCCGGCCTCCCTCTCGTTCGCCCTGGCCATTTGCTTGAGTGTCCCTAGGCCTGCCTGTGCGCCCCCCTTCCTGGTGGTTTTGTACGCGCCATGCATGGGGCTGGCTGCAAATGCCCTGAATCGAAACTCCCTTTGCGGACTTCAGGGAGTGGAGGGCCGGTTTTTGAGCCCCACACTGGCAGTGCCTGTTGGAATATTGTGCTGGCACAATTAAACTACCCATGTGCTTAGCTAGAGCTCATCACACAGAGCAAGAACCGAGGCGGAGCTAGAGATTGGTCAGTCATGACCAATGCGGCGTAGGTATCCCGAAGCATCACCCAATCACACATAGCACTTCTAGATCCCCCATTTAATCCAGAGTGAATGACCCAGCCCTCACCCCAGGAAAAAGCTACATCCTTGCCTTTTCAGCAGTCAGCAAGCTGAGACCCTGAAAGGTAAGGGGCCTGATTTTCAGAGGGGAGTCGCAGATTTCAGTGGCTACGGAGTGCGCTTGACGGCCCTGACAATTGGACCGTTACAGATTTGCTTGAAGCCACCAGCCAGGACGGAGAGGGACAGCAGTGGGTTTAAAATCTAAGTGCTCCCGGCTTCCACTTCTGTGCTGAGGGCCCAAGGACCGGCGCAAAAAGAGTGCCGTGCGGAGCAGCCAGCCAAATGGACTGCAGTCCCAAACCACCACGAAGCAGGGAGCACAATTGGTTTTGCTCTGTTGCTTGTTGCATGGGTTGCATAACTGTGCTGTCTCCTTCCCAGCCTCAGGATCACCTCGCTGCTTCATTCTCCTGAGCAGAGTAAATCAAACTTGATTCTGTTTTCGGAGGGCAGCGCAGAAGCTACCGTTTCTTATGTTCACTGCTTCCACTGTGAATATCCATTTTGGAAACGCTGCCAGTAACCAAAAGGAAAGGCTCCAGAGGAGTCTCTAAGTAGAGCCCTGCAAAATCCATGGATATCCACGGCTATCCGCATCCATAAAAATGATCCACAGGAATCCGTATCCACAAAAAGGATCTGGATGTCCGCAGATGATTTTTGCAGCTATGGATGCGCATACAAATTGTATCTAGAACCCTGCAAATTTGTGTGGCTGTACATCCACAGATGTGAGCGCAGATATCCATGATCAGTTTTGCAGATGCAGATACCAATTTTGTATCTGCTCAGGGCTTTGCCTCCAAGCTCGAATATGAATATAAACATCCAGTAGCTGGCCTGCAGCCCCTCCAGGCTTAACCCCACCTCTTTTGTTTTGCAAACCCATGCTGGAAATCCCATGAGAAAAAGTTACTTGTGAGATGTCCAGCACTTTGCCGTTCCAGCCTCTGCTGGAAACAAATGTGTGGGAAGGAAACCAATAAAGTTAAGATCTTTAGAAAATATCCACATCAGGTTGCTCTGCCAATGTGAAGACACTGATTTTTGCTCAGGGGGTTCACCAGTCATGGTGAACATCAGGCTATTAGCTCTTTGCTGCTGAAGTAGGAAAGATGCCGTGTTTTGATCTATGCACCCTGGGCTCTCAGCGAGGAGAGCTTTGATAAAGGCGATGGGAGGGTTTCATTCTGAAGGGTTCAACGCCTTTTTTTCCTTGTTCTTCTTTTGGAAACTACACTGTTGTGTTGTTTCTTGCTTTGTAACTGTGTTATTCCCTTGTTTTGTTCTGAGCAAGCATTAGACTGAAGGATTCAGAAAGGAATGGCTGACGCTAGGGGATTGGTAAGCTTCAAACGCCTCCATAATAATACCAGATTCATAGCATGATCATTTAGACTCCTGTGACCCAAATGTTGAGCTGTTTTTCCCCCTTTATTTTATTTTTAATTTCTCAGAGGTGCTTTGCCTGTCCCAGCGCACCCGATTGTAATACCGTGGTGTTAGCAGAGGGAGCAGTCTGGCCGCAGAGCTTAGCTGTGCGACAGTGGGTATAACAGCGACAGGGGAATGGCACCCGAATCCTGCCCATCGACATGCTCGCTTGAAAATGGTGCCGCTCGTCAGCCTTTAGACTTGTCTTCCTGGATCCTGCTTTATTAGGCCAATAAGCGGCTTCTGGGGATGTCTGCCACTGTTGTCCTGTTGTAGTCCTGTGCGTGCCGCAGCTGTTGGGGGCGCTGGATCTAAGTCACGCTGAGCATTCACCAGTCTGAAAGCTGACAGGGCGGGGTGACAGCGTGGCTGACAGACTGGCCAGGCCCCTGGGCAAGGCGACGGGGAGGGGCTAGCTCTGTACGAGGGCCGGGGACATGGGCGTCTGGTCTTTAAGGCAAAGCAAGGCTGTGTCCAGCCAAAACTGAGCTGTGCTGGCCCCTCCCTGCCTCCAGCTGCCCCGTGGGGTTGCTGTGGAATGGCCAGTGTGGCACAGGCAGGTTCCAGGGCGGCTGGGAAGGCAGAACAGCAGGAACCTCCTCAGCAGCGCACATGGTAGTGGGGAGGCTCAGGACCGCGCTGCCTCCCTCCTGCTGCTACCCGCGCTGGGAGGCTTGGGCCGGTTCGGGCTGTGGCAGCCTCCCTCCTGCTGCTCCTGGAAGCAGGGGGGCTTGGGCGCGCCCGCTCGTCTCCTCCTCAGGGAGGGCGGGTGCACTCAGCGCACTGCTCCGCTCCATAGTGTGGGCGGGGCCTCAGCAGAGGGGGTGGGGCTGAGGGTCTGCCTACCCCAGCCTCAGCTGCACCAACCACCCATGGGCGGGGCTTGGGGCTAGCTTCTCCCAGGCAGCCTAAGTGCCACCCGGGGCTCTGGCGGTGATTTAATTAAGATCCAGGGCAGTTCTCCCCTCCCTTTCCCTCCCCCCATCTCCGGTCGCAGGCCTGGCAGCCCTGAGGTTGCAGCAATAGCGCAGCTCTTCAGAAAAAAGACGGTGGCTCTGGCAGGTTGGTAGAGGCTCCCAGACGGCAACGGAGCCATCCCAGGGTTGGAGTGGCCAGGCAGCGAGAGGGGGTCTGTTGAGAGCTGGAGAGTGAGTGGCCAGTCACGTGGTCGGCCCCTCGCTGGCCGTTTTCAGTGCAGCTGATGCTGCAGTTGGCTCTTCTCTCAAGAGGGGATAGTCACGGGTCCCTCTAAGCTTTTCCGCCCATGTGCGGAATGAAATTTTCTGTGTGCACCGTGGCACGGGGGGCTGGAACAATTTGTACAGTGGGGAGGCGAGGGGTGTGAACCAAACTGTAAAGCCTGTGTACAGTGGACACCACTTCAAGTCAAGGGTGCTGCAGCGTACCCCCCTCCCCACCCAGCACCCTTAGTCCCAGCACCTATGCTGAGGCAGGTACAAATGGGCCCCTCCAGTCGAAACAAAAACCTGGCTCCTGGCGCTCTGCTAATCCGCTGGGCGGCATTTGAAATAATCCTTCCCGAGCGGCCGCCCGCACGCCCAGCTTACAGGGACGGCTGGGGAGGGTCCGTTGGGATTTGCAGTGAGCCGTGTCGGAAGGGAGCTTGCCCTCCTGTTGCCTGCATCGTACTGTTCTGGGGAGGACGTAGATCTGAGTGAACAGGGGACTCGCTTCTCCAGAGCTGTCAGTCCCACTCCTCTCACCTGCATAGACTGAACATCCTGCCTGTGCAGATGGGGCAGTGAACCTAGGTTCTGGGGCCCTCGTGAA